AACAAAAGCAACCAGAAGCAAACAAGAAATCTTCTTGAACTTTTGAGTGGAATTCTGCTTCATATAATAGAATGTGATAAAATTATTTTTATTTGTGTTATTGTTTTCCTTGATGTGATTAAGAAATATTCAAAACGATACAGTTAAGTATTGTTTACATAGATAGTCATAGTATACTGAGTTTACGTCGAGAAAATAGATGATAACTTGTCCGTTTTGCGCATATTTTATGCGAGCAGAAATCTTTTCCACTCCACAACAATTGGCTGTTAACAAGTGTTTTGTTATCTCTACTTTGACCAATTTTTTGTCTATATGCGTAGTAATAAGATTTACTTCTCAATGTTAGCTTCGATTACTAAATCATTGATGTTGTTGACAAGTTTTATTCTCCAGAATTACAAATGTTAAGCATAGGTTCTTTTATCGCACAACAGTGTTTGTATGATAGTGTGTCACACTACAGTCGTTTGAAATACTTATTACTCGATTCTCGTATATATTTTTCATTTCGTAAAATAAACCTTGTTGTGAGATTTTTGTCATAGATGTTGTCAGAGTTTATCGAAACTAATATTAGATAAATCGCTGTGGATTATGGATTATAATAAAAAATGTGTTTTTAGTAACTATAAATATACATAAAGTAGTTTACAAAGATTATTTCCTTTTAAAAAACACCATAGTATAGAAGAAAAGATTTTTATACAAAGCATTACAAAATTGGAGTTTAAGAAAAATGAGCATATTTACACTGTGTTATGTAAAGAAGTAAAATAATGTCTTTATTAATCTTGAGGTATATATAAAACACTTAAATATATCTCTAGCAAAACTACATCTACCAAAATAGATGAGTGGTTTCATAAGGTTGGTAAATGTCTGTGATATGGTGCCACATTTAATTATATGACGTCTGAAAATTTTTATTCCTCAAAAGTTTTCAAGATACATTTCAGTAAAATATGATGCGTTGTTCACAATCCGTATTCCTTTAAAGCGAGGAATATAGCAATTCGTAAACATGAAAAGAACGACAAAACATGAAAAAAAATGGTATACGAATTTAACTTCCAATTAAGTCCTCATTTATTCCATTTTTCAAGTTTGCGACGTTGTGCGACTTTTACATGTTCGTAAGTGGGAAATTCTGCCATTCTAACTATTTGGTGTCGTTTTCATTTACTTGTATGACAAGTACTAAATCGCTTGCTTCTAACAATTACAGAATGTGACTAACTCGTCAGTTCTGCTTGAAATTAAATTTAAAAAGGTACATTAAATCAAGGCACAACTGCTTTTTAGTTTATGTGTGTTACACGAATAAAAAAGAAGCTCGCTTTTACTTTGCAACTATAAATTGCGAGAATATAGCATTTTGTTCACTCGATTGATTCGTGGACATAAGTAAAAAACGCATGTATTGCTGCGTTCAAGAACGAGAACACATAAAATATGCCTANGACCATTTTCAGGCTACTCTACGCTTTTACTAATGTGACGCGTTTATTACCTTTATATTTTAGTATCTATAAATGTACAATTTAATTATCAAGAAAATTGTCATACTTGTGCATCAGAAGAATAACCACAAAGGTTCAAAAAAGTATAAAATTTAGATTCAAAAAAATAAGTAAACATTTTGATGTAGTTTATGTGAATCTTATCGTAACTGCGTGTAAAAAGTGTAAAGAAATGAAAGAAAACTGTTGTCTTTAAGAAATANTTGGGCGTATTAGTAAAATTTTTATAGTAACATTGCTACAATGCGTGTAACTTAATAGGTACTTTTGTGAAAATATTGCACAAAAATGGCATCATGATTGGCGACGATTTTGCAATGATTGCACTAAGATGATTCGCCATAACGCACCAATTATGTCGAAATCTAATTTTGTAAATAATATTTGTCAAAAATTGCNAAACAGTCGTTATGCATNTCNACAGTATATACCTCCAATAAGCAAANTGTGAAAATAGTGCAAAATATGACATCACNAGTGACGACNANTTCTTGCATTTCTTNATATGCAATCATATTTCTACATATTTTAAACATCACATAGGTAAATTTCTTTTCTCAATTAGTGGACAATTTCTTTGTGAAAGTAATTTTGCAAATATACTGCTAAGATGATTCGCTATATCGTTATTTTTTTGCCGCAATAGTATTTGGAAAGTAATTTTGCAAACAACTACAAATATTTCAGAAAAGATCAATGTTTTTGCATCTTTTTCCTAAAATATGTGTGTATAATTGCAAAGTACAATTTTAGTGCAAGATTTCATCACATACTTTTGTAAATAGTTTCTTATTAGGGAATAGACTTAATTAAAGAAACTAAAAAAACTTTTGCAAAGATATAAAGTGTCTTTTTATATAAAAGTAGACAAATGTTTAGTTTTTACAAATCTTAAAACTCTTAGGAGCATTGAAAAAATTTTAGATGCAATGGAAATAATAAAAAGAATAACTTTAAAAGCTATATAAAGTTTTATATAGTTTATAAATAATAAAAAGAATAACTTTAGAAGCTATAAAGTTAAGTTTCTATTCCTTTGAAAGACTTAAAGACTATTTTAAAATCATTTTTTTAAATTTTCGGGTTTTCTAAGATTATCTCTTAAAATCACTCTTGAAATACTTTTAAATTTTTTAGATCACTTTACATCAATGTCTTCCACACTTTAAATTACTTCAAAATTTATTAAGTAAACTCTTACACGTTAAATAACACTTTTAAAAAATTTAACTGTATTTAAAGTAATTTTTCCCAAGATTAGTTTGTCGTTAGTTTGTTTTTCTATAGGTTTTCTTTATTCGTATTTATTACATTTCAAACAATATTAAAAACAATGACATATGTTTTATTTCATTGTTCGCGACAAATACCCATTTTTTTAAATTCCGCGGTTATTAAAAAGCAAAAATACTTATTTTAATATTTGTACAATTTAATAATCCGTTTTGTAAACCAACCTAACAAGTATAATTTTATATTGTATTCTGTAGCTATTTCACAGTTTTTGTAACATAATAAAAGTAATTCTTAAGGTTTGACGAGAATATATACAAAAGCAAAAAAGTTTGCTTACTGTTATATATAGTTATAAATAGATCTCCAAACTGTGTGATATTACAAATATTGTACCTACATACGTCACACATCTAGTACAAGTGTCACAGCACATGTATGACTTATTCCGTCTATTTTTTTGTTCATCGTGAAAATATAAACCCACACAGCACACTATATCTTGCGTATATCCCAAAAAGATCGGGATTTTCAAGTGCAATTCCAAACATATCCCAATAAGTAATTTCCGGAATATTACAATAAGATATCGTGAGATATTTTATGTAATGCCAAGTGATAAAGCAGGATATCTTTTGAACATTATAAAATTTATTCCAACTATTTCAAATATATCTTATGGATATCTACTAGATATTTTAAACTGTCCAAATAATATTCGGTGGATATCTTTTACACATTTGTGGATATCTCTCGTACATCTGTACAATATATTTTATCTTGAGAATATCGTAAAATATTTCAAAGTGTAAATGCGATCTCAATATAAATTCATAGTCGTACAATATTTTAGGTAATACTCAAATTTTAAATAAATGTTTTCAATATTTTTCTACTTTCAAAATAAGCGTATATATAAAATTGTCTAACACTTATTCAAACATCTTAGAAAAAGAAATTACACCGTCTTTACATTTGGTTTCAAAATGTATTATAGCAACAAAAAACACTTTTTGTGTAAAACACTTTTACTATATAATTACTTATTATATAACTATTATTATATACTAAAGTGATACATATAAATGTGTATACATATTTTTATATATTACATCCCTCATTATTATATATTATATTTATTTCTATATATATTTTATATCTCTCATTTGGTATATATTTGTTAAGAATTGACTACAATAATCAGCATATGTTACCAAACCATTAGTTCACGTTATAATAATGTATTTTAATTTATAAATAATAATAACAATAACAACAACAACAACAACAACAATAATAATAATAACACTAAAAGAAATTTATTATCTCTTGTTGTAGGTACATTGCACTGTAATAGTTTTAATAAAATAATAACTTACATAAATAATAAATGAAATGTGTAGAATAGCTTGTGCTAATATGTAGATAAAAGTGTTATACTTCAGTAAGGATCCAGTGGTCTTGCGGGCTGAGTGCAAGGGGCTACAAATTTGAAGATTTCAAGTTCGCGAATCCTACTATCACCTCAAAATTTTTTTCGAGTCCCAGTATCTTTCATCGAGTTACTTAGGTGATCGGTAAGCTAAATCAGGTCTCCAAAGAGTAATTCGAGTGAAATCTCGAATTAATTTTTCTCTTAAGGCGATGTGTCGTATTTTTTTGTTATATATCTCCATAATATTGCTGTGATGCATTTCGGCGGACATTTAAATATTACTGACATTTAGATATTACATTAACAGTACGGTAATATTTCTATAATTGCAATAATATTAAGTGGTATGTGGGATTATATTGTACGATATTTCTAGAGTTCCTTTGGATACTCTTTGAACATTATCTATATTATCCGTAAGATATTACTAAAGCGGACATTAGTACAACTTATGGACATCTCTCAGATATCTGAGACCATTTTAGGATGTCTTATGGATATTGCGATATCCCATAATACTGTCTGTAGAAATCCCTACGATAAAGTGTGCTCTGTGGGAATATTTATAAGTACATGTAAATCGGTCATTAAGACCCAATAATTCGCTAGAAGTTTTGCGATAATATTTGTGTATATATAAATGTACACATATGTATACGTGTCCACGTGTAAATCTTACACGTGAGTTTTTTGAATTGAAATTTCACTCTTAACCTTCGTATGCTACTTTTGCATCTCATATATGAGAGATCCGTATAACTTTCTACTTACTTAAAAATATCTATCTTGTATAAACTTCAAATAGAGAAAAAAGTGCAGTAATTCTCCATTACATCAACAATACTGTCAGTAGGAAAAGTAGGAATCTATAGTTATAATTGGCAAACTCACCGTATGACGTAAGTAGTGTGTCAATCAAAGATAAACAAAGATAATAACACTGACAGGTAAAACAGCATAGGCAGAAATAAGAAGTTGTGGAGATGGCAGTTAAAATTCAAAAAGAAAGTTAATGAAACGGACTTACGGCATTGTGTTCAGCTCCTTAAAGCCAAATAAGATTAGACGTGTGTTACATCTCTCAACATTTTGGAAGTTTAAGTTTTTTACAGTCGCCGTTAGTAGTACTAAACGTAAGCATATCACAAACAAAATAATATTTGATTTTTTAAATAAACATTACTTTTATTTTCCTGTTTCTCAGTATTAATTGTTTTTCATATTAAAGTACAAAAAATAAAGAAAAATGAACCCGGACGAACCTTCGACTTCTTCGGAAAGCAAACCTAGAAAAAGAACTCACAGTAACATAGAACTAGAAGTAGAAAGTGAACAAACGAAACAGCAAGAACACGTGCCGATACAAGAGAAAAAGGCAAAGGAACGCCAAGCAACAAATATTCTTGACTGCCCAGATATACTTTTGTTTCGTATATTCCAACATGTAGACAAGGAAGATTTGAGAAATCTCAGTTTGTGAGTTTTGTTTAGTTACATGAAACAAGTGATAAATAAATATCCGAAACTATGCATAGCGACAGAAGTACGACTTTGCTCTTGTTGACAAACTGTATCTTTCAAAACAACAAACTTATTAGTACACATAATGTATGTGTAACGGTTCGTACCAATATACATAGTCGTTTGGGATATAATCACTCGTCTCTCGTTGCAAAAATTGAGTTATATTTTATATTTTTTAAG